TCATAGATAGAGAAGAGAAGCTAACAAAGAAAAGAGACTAATAGAACTTAGTATGCAGTGACGCCTATGCTGTGCTACAGAAATTCAAGAAAAGTGGAGGAAAAGTCGCATCCGCTTCGCCTTAGGAGAAGAAGAAATTCATTCGCATGTTGTTAGACTGAAATGATAAGGAGAAGGAAGAAAGAGCAATGATTGAGGTAGCCCAATTCCAAGCTCTGTATAGGCAAACAAAGTACTATGGGAGTAACGGTCAATGTCACAGTCTCAAAGTATTCGCTTCACTCAATGCTCATTATATTCGCAACACCCGCTCCACTCCATTGACCTACCCACCACCAAGTTACTGCTTTACAGATAAGAAGGAAATGTGAGAGCTTTTCCATATCACTGCCTTTATCATAATCATAGTTTTGCGGACGGACAGACAGACACACCGACAAACACACAAACCGACAAACCGACACACCAAGTTACTGCTTTATAAATGAGAGAGATATCAAACAGATATAGATTAGATGTTGTTGCACACATGGATGGGGGAGGAGTGTTTGTAGGTCGGGCTGCCCGGAAACCATCACCAGCATTTCGTATCCGCATTCAGCTCTGCCCGTCTATGCGAGCGAGACCACTGGCTCCCGTGGAGGTGTGAACAAAAACACACCTGAGAAGTCGTGTTCAAACATCAAAATGACGGGATAAATATGAGTGACATTTCGTGCTGGCCAACCTAATCAAAAACTAAATAGCCAAAGACAAAAAAAAACTTTGTTTCCTAACTACAGAGTGCTTATGCTCTAGTCCCTTGCTTACAGATGATGTATTACAAAGCGACGGAAGTTGGTTGCGCCGTTCAAATATGTAACAATATATTTGCGACCGCCTGTGTGTTCAACAAGGCGTAAGTTCTTACTTTCCGCACAATTGCAAATTTTTATCAACTACATTCTCATGCTGAAATAAGAAATTTTTTTACTAATAATGGAAATTTGAAGTGATCAACTTTATGGGTATGGAGCGCTCAGCCATCTTTTCAAAGTCCATTATTTGAACACATCCTATACTGTAGGGTTTGGCTGAGGCTGTTCTTTCATGTTTTGAATTCATAGTGCGGGGCTGGTGTTGTGGGAAACTGCGTACTATCACACATGCATGATTCAAGTATCGAATCTGGGATCGGTACGCATGTGTACCGCCGCTAAGAGTTTGAACGGATGTCGAATGCGGGAACGTATCCCAAGAACGGGATTGATGAACACTAAAGACTCCCTAGAATTTGACAGTGCTGTACTGAAGCTTATTACACTGTTCTCGCAGGATTTTGTTGTTTTTCGAATGTTCCCCCCCCCCCTCCTCCTCCCACCTCCTTCAGGCGTGGGCCACCCACATCGATAGAAGCAAAATCCCGTGCCTTGACCTCTCATGGCTTGGAAAAAGTAGTTTTTACCTACTCAGGCGACTGAACTTAGAACACCTGATTTCTTCGGATGGAATTTATATACACAGTTCATGACTTTACGAAAAGTACGCCCGTCACGATTGCGGGATGCCATGCATCAGAATTATCCCCTTCCTTCTCCCTACCATCAATGAATTTTATCGCATGAGGGTGGACACCAGAAGAGAACTTTTTATACTGTTCAGGTTTACCGAAATCTGAAAAATAACGTGTGCATAAAAAAGGTCATCCGGTCAATCTGGTGAATTAACCTGTGAAATCGTATGCTTGATAAATAGAATCAAAGTAGGTTTTCTCCTATCCAAGCTTTCTCTACACCTTTGCCATCTGTCCTTTTGCTCCGCAAGGTGAATCTCACGCAGTCGCTGGATCAGCTGTTTCCATGAAAAGTCGCCACTTCTATATGAATGCAGCGTATGATCCACTTCACGTTTGTTCGAAACATGCTACCGTCAGCGGCCGAGTAACTTATACACTGCGTTTACTAACAATACAACCACCTATAAATTTTACCAAAGCTCACATTTCAGGGTACTTCATGAAAGGTCCCATTATGCAAAGTGTGGCGAGTCCCATCACAAGAAGATGGAAAATTTTCTCCCCAATTTTTTTCAGTATCCGTTACCCTGCCTATGTTTCGAAATGATACAGCCGCTTATCCAGCCTGACTGCTGCTCAATTTTTTTTTGACCTCAATACCTTTCCTACAACCAAGTTATCAAACTTCATAGAGAGTACCGCCCACTTTCCCTGTGTTCTCAGCGCAGTGAGTCTTGTTCGTTTGATTTGCTGACCATTTTTCAATCTTCGCTCACTTCTTGTCTAGGCTTTACTAGAGCTCAATCAAGCACTTTTGTCTGAGGAACCGCCCATTCCGGTGCATGCTCCGCCCTCTATAGGCAAAGTTCCGCTAAGAACATAGGAGCTCTGTTGTCTTTGCCTCCGACCCCACCTATGTTCAAGATGCCCCGACCTCTCGAACTTCTTCTTCAAAGAATGCCGGCTTTGGTGACAGACACATAGATAGACAGAGAGGCAAACATATTTCAAAAACATCATACTTACACATACTGTAGGGACGACAACGTGAAATGCTCACTGCTACCAGCTGTACCATGTATGTATCATATGATCCAGGGATGATTTAAAATGTTCCAGGGATGATTACTATGAGTACCGTATTGACGGTAATGGTATTGGAACCGTCGATGGGGTTGTTGATTTAGGATTTATGGTCAGACCGGATCTCTCTTTTGATAGTCATTGTGAGATGATTGCCGGTAAAGGGCTCAATGCCGTTCATAGACTATTCAGAGCTCTGACTACTAGGAATCCCTCTGTACTGCTTCAAGCCTTCAAGGCCTATGTAAGGCCTCTGGTGGAGTATGGCACTGTTGTGTTTAGCCCACACAAACACAAAATT